CCAAAAAAAAAAAAAGAAAGAAAATACTTTAAAAATAAATAAATAAATAAAAACAGAAAAATTAGACAGGTATATATGCCTATAGTCCTGATCGCTGACAAGGCTGAGGCAGGAGGATCACCTGAACCTAGAAGTATGAGACTGCTGTTAGCCAGATTAATGCCATGGCACTTGAGCCTGGGCAACTATATATCAATAGTTGGCAAGGATATGAAGAAGTCGGAATGTAAAATGGTACGGTCATTTTGAAAGACAGTCTGGCAGTTTCTCAATACATTAAATGTAGATTACCCTATGACCCAGCAGTTCCACTACTAGGTAATACTAAGAGAAACAAAAACATACCTGTGGTATTGGCATAAAAATAGAGACATAAAGGCGGCGCCTATGGCTCAAAAGGGTAGGGCACCGGCCACATATGCCAGAGGTGGCAGGTTCAACCCAGTCCCAGCCAAAAAAAAAAAAAAAGAGAGAGACATAAACCTATTAATCAGAATAGAGAATCCAGATACAAAACCAAGCTTATATTGCCATACAGTCTTTGACAAAGCAAAGAAAAGCATACACTGTGGGGGGAAAAAACCTATTCAATAAATGGTACTGAGAGAACTGGATAACCACATGTAGGTCCTACCATTCACACCTCTCACCACTCACAAAAATTTAATTCACTATGGATAAAAGATTTAAACCAAAGGCATGAAATTTTAAGAATTCTAGAAGAAAATGGTGGAAAAATTCTTACAAATATCAGCCTATGGAAAGAACGTACAAGGAAGACACCAATGGCAATCACAGCAACAAGAATAGACAAGACCTGATCAAGTTTAAAAGTTTCTGCACAGTCGAGGACACTATCAACAAAGCAAATACATAACGTATGGAATGGGGAAAGATATGTACATCCCACATATCCAGTAAAGGATGGATAACCAGAATCAACAAAGGACTCGAGCAACTCAACAAGAAAAGATCAAATTATCCTATTAAAAATTAAGGAAGAAACATGAAACATCAGAAACTGTTCTAATGAAGATAGACTAATGGGCAACACACACATGAAAAAATGTTCATGTTCAATGTCTCTAATCATCAGGGAAAAGCAGATCAAAACTACACTGACATATCATCAACCCCAGTGAGAATGGCTCACATCATAAAGTCCCAAGGCAAGAGATGCTGGTGTGAATGCAGCGAGAAAGGAACGCTTAGACACTTTTGGTGCGCTGCAAGCTAATTCAACCTCTATGTGAAGTAGTGTGGAGATTCCTTAAACAACTTAAAATTTTGAACCTGCAATCCCTCTACTAGGTATTTACCCAAAGGAAAAAGAAAGGACATTTTATAATAAAGACACTTGCACTCAAATGTTCCTAACAGCACAATTCACAATTGCAAGGATGTGGAAACAATCCCACCAATATGCCCATCAATACGTGAATGTATTAATAAAATGTAGCATATATACCAAGGAATATGCTCAGCCATAAAACAGATGGTGACCTAGTATCTTTTGTTACAACCTGGATAGAACTGGAGACCAATCTTCTAAGTGAAGTATTGTAAGAATGGAAAAACAAACCCTATAGGTACTCAAAACTAAATGGGAACTAGTTAATCAACACCTGTGTGCTCCATGGAAGCAAAACTCAATGAAACTCAAATGGGGGAGGAGGAGTAAGGGGAAGTGGACTGTCACCCAACGGTACACTGCACAAGTACACTGTACATGTTATAAGTGAAGGGCACACCTATAACTCTGACTTAAAATACACAAAAGCAAAACAAGTAACTAAAACACACACAAATCTTCTACTTATTCATAACAGCATTATTTCCAAAATATGGAAATAACACAAGTGACCATCAACAGACAATGAATAAACAAAATGTGGTTTACCCATACGATGGAATATTATTCAGCTATTAAAAAGGAATAAAATACGGATACAGGCTACCACATGGATAAACTCTGAGCATTACACTAAACAAAAAAAGCCAGACAATAAAAGCCACACATTGTATAATTCCATCCATAGGAAATGTCAAGATAAAGCAAATCCAGGGACAGAAAGTAGATCAGTGGTTGTCCAGGGGACTGGGGATTGGAGGTAAATGATGAGTGAACGAATGGGTTCAGGGTTTCTTTTAGGGCAATAAAAATGTTCTAAATTTTTGTGGTGATGGTTGCCCAACTTTGTGAATACACCCAAAACCAATGAATTGTAAACTTTAGCGGGTGAATCATGGTATGTGAACTATATATAAAAACAAAAGTCTCCCAGACGGCATGGAACAGCAATTTCACAGGCTGTGCTCTGAACAGAGGGCAGGCTCACAGTAAGGACACGGAATGTGACGGTCTAGGCTCCTGACAGGCTCTCCCACTGACCAGGTGGTGTCACACTGGCCACAGAACTCAACCATCTCCATGCACCTCAGTGTCCTCCCAACAGGAATGCAGCAGCAAAGCTCTCCAGGTTGGTGATGAGTTTTTTCTTTTTTTCCCCACATCAATAAGCTGGTCTAGGCTGTGAGGTCTGCACTTGTGGAGTCTGCACGAATTCTGAGTAGTAACAAAACTGAACTGGAGGACACCCAGTTATCCTAAAAGAATTGCTATTGGATGTGAGCTTTAAATAAAATAATTCTTGTAAAGGCCTGAGCTAGAGATCAGCAACTATAGGCCAGCACACAAGGTTGAAGAGTCTGTGCATCCCAGGACCAGGTTTGCTCAGTTCTAGCTCAGGGAATCAAACTGGCAAAGGACAGCAGAGATTAGAGCAAATCAGATAGTAGGTAAAAGGAACAAAATGCCTGAAGAGAACACAAGAATACCTCCTAGAAATCCTTGGCAGAAAATCCCCAAAGTTACCTGCTGACTTGGGTCTTTTTTTTCACTCAGGTCTCTGGAAGCTACAGCCTCATTTCCCTTTTTGGTGACTTCTTCTATGCGTTCCTCACATTGCTCCTTCACTTCCTTCATCTGATTGATGCACTGGCTCCTTGGTGAAAGAAAGCAAAAGGAGGGACAAATGTCTATGAGTATGTCTCTGTTGGACTGAGAAATCCTCTTCAATAAGAGACAACAGGCCATCTTTTTCCTGCTTCAGGCACTTTATCTGAAGAGGGCAATTAAGACAGGGTAATATGTGTGTTTCAAACTATTAAATGACAAAAAAAAAAAACTACAGTTAACTGAAACTCACTATAAATTTGTCACATTGTTCTAAAAACAGGTGAACTTTATTGATTAGGAAAACAAACTATTTTTAAGTGAAGCATGGTGGTAGGCACCTATATTCCCAGCTACTCAGGAGGCAGGAGGATTGCTTAAGCCCAAGAATTCAAGACCAGCCCAGGCAACATAGAAAGACTCCAGTCTCTTAAAAACAAATAAACAACAACAAAAAATTTAACATACAATCTACAGAATATATATATACAAACACACACACACATATATATATGTATATACACACACAAAGACCATCCAAAGGTAACAAACTGGTCAACATATGGACATAGTCAACACAAGGAACTCAGCAGGCCTAGTACTGATACATACACGGAGTTTATGTCTGGTTTATGAAAATTAGGTCAACTTAAGGAGGTGGTCAGTGTAGGGAGATGGTTCTACTGTACACTGGTCTTTGTTCCTGGCTACTGATACGGAGAGTCTAAAACCCTTGGAGTTTCCTGGTAAGAGTGTCTTGATTTTCATAACCAGCTCCTCAGGACCAAGCAAAGTTTATGCTAATTAGGTGACTAATGGGGGTGCAGCAGGGAGGGGGTGTTAGTTGGTTGTTTCAGGGCCTGACAGAAAACCAATCACATGACTGGAAGGTTAGAACTTTGAGCTTCATGTCCTCTGGGGAGGGGAGACGGAAAGGAGATTAAGTTCAATCACAAGGCCACTGATTTAATCAACCATACTTATATAATAAAACCTAGATAAAAACTTTGGGCCATGAAGGTCAGTGAGCTTCCTGGCTGGTGAACACAGATACCCTGGAAAGGTAGAACCCTGACTTCATGGGACAGAAGGTCCTACTAGCCACGCCCTATCCCACTATACCTTATGAGTATCTACCAAGTGTCTGTTCTGTCATATGGTAAGTATTAGCTCACCTGAATTCTGAGTCATTCTGGCAAAGTATCACACCTAAGGGGGTGGTGAATCACTCTAATTTTGAGCCAGGTGAGCAGAAGTGATGGTGGCTGGAGGACAACTAGGACTTGTTGCTGGCATCTGAGCTGAGAGCAGTCTTGTGGAATAGAGCTCCACAACTTGTGGGGTCTGCACTAATTCTTGGTAGTATCAAAACTGAACTGAACTGGAGGATACCCAGTTGTCCTAAAAGGATTGCTGTTGGATGATACTTTGAAGGATCACTTCAGCTTTCTGCCTGGAATTTATCTTAACAATATTTTAACAAGCATCACAGCTATGAAGGAATTGAAAGAATCACCCACTTATTTTATAAATAAGGAAGCTCAAAGATGACCGGATTGTATGCTGTGGACCAGAATCACAGAGAGAGAAACTGTTGAGGCTAAAACTGGAAGTCAGACTCCAGGCTTCCTGCCTATGCCGTACAGACAGCTTTTTCTGAGTTATATGCATTTCGGAGCCAAGTTTGAGTACTAACACTAAATCTCTAACTCTAGGAATATATCCTTCAATTCAAAGCACGACTGGGTCACAATGTACCACACACACAAAAGATACCAGGTGCTTTAAAAATAATGAAATGCATAGTTCCTGACCTTGGACAGCTGCGAAATAAAGTGAAAAATTAATTTAAATAAAATTCTCACAAACATACAAGCCACAGGTGGTCCACTAGTACAAAGGAGCTTTAAACACAGCACAAAAGAGAGAAGGACTAAACGAGCAGGTCATTTGCTTCCCTACTAAAGGGAAGTACTGGTTTCACCTGCTCCCAGCCCTGCCAAAATCTAGTACCAAGAGCTCTGAGCATTCTTCCACATTCTAGCTCCACACCAGTAAGCAGAACAATCTCAACACAGAGCTCAAATTCTGAGACAAGGTCATGCCGGTTGTGACAAGTCTTACTCCCTGGAGGTCTTACGCTGGTTTTTTCTTACATGCATATATGATAAATGTCCCAGCATTTACAAAAGCTAAACTGGACAGACATTCAGGACTTGACCAGTAGAGATTATTCTAACTGGTGTAACTGATGGCCAGAGTACCATTAACAGAATGTGCTCAGTACAGGAATCTATCAAGGTGGTGATTAATCATCCAGGACATAGAAGTACGACTAGTATGCTCCAGTATCAACATTTGTGAACCCTGTTTCCTCACAGCATGGAGATGAAATGGCCAACAGTCTATCTCATGTGCTGACTCTAAGTGCTCTGGGTAGACAGAATGAAAGGCTATGTTTGGATCTAGTGCAGTGATTGCTTAGTGATGTCTGCCACAGGTGTAGGAATAAGAAATGGGATGTGTGCTGACTGAATCTGGAGAAAAAACCCTAACTTGTACATCAGGAAGCCTTGCCTTTCAATCTTAGTCCTGCCTTATATAAAAAAAGGATGAGACTAGACAGGATGTTTTAATGGAGATGTGCAGCTATGTTTCAAGGGCTCTGTGAAGTTCCACAAATTGAACACACAACTTTATATATATGTGTGTCCACTTATAAATTTGTTAACAAAGTGTCCACAACTTTTATCAGATTCTCAAAAAGTGTTTATAATGCAAAGAAAGTTAAGAGTACCTAGCTCTTTCTGGCTTCCAACATTTCACAAACATCACTCCCAGGAAGCATCTGTAACTATTATAGGGTCTCGGGCATAGTTTGTGAAATAGAAGAGTCAGCCAGAAAGAGCTTTTAATCTAGATGTCAATCTGTTATGAGAAAAAGGAGTGCATCCCACATGTACACCCAGCCAGGTGGGAATTGTTCACTCACTGCCCTAAAACTCACTCTTGTAAGCAGAAAGCAGTGCTTCCTTCCCTGCCACTGGGCCCTGGATGATTTCCAGCTAGTTCAAAATCTTCTGGGTCAACATTAATCAAGTGAGGTCATCAATGGCTTTTTGTATTTCAAGTAATAGAAGAGACGCACTGTTATTAAGGGGTCTTTTAAGGATGAATAATTAAACATTTTTGTCTGAATGCAATTCTTTGATTATCAGCCTAACTCAGGGTGTCTCAACCCTGGTCTTATAGACATTTTGGGCCAGATAAAACTTCATTGTGGGTGGGGAGCTGTCCTGGGCATCATAGGATGTTCAGCAGCATTCCACTGAGTTGTGAGCAACAAAAATATCTCTAAACACTGCCAAAGATTTCCTGGTGGCAAGACTGAAGCTTTTGAGAAGAAGTGGCCATGTAGATGTCTAAAATTTTTTCACAAAACAATCTGTCAATTTACAACTAATAACAAGCTAAACCTACAATTGAGTCTCTTTTAGAAGGAAATAATGCAAAATAATTTTTAAAAGAGAAAACATTTTGGAGCTATATGGATTTTTATATGTAAAGAAATAAAAAAAATTAATTAAAAAATTAAAAATGGGCTGGGTTAGGTGGTTCACATCTAGAATCCTAGCACTCTGGGAGGCCAACGCAGGTGGACTGCCCTGAAGTTTAAGACCAGCCTGAGCAAAGCAAGATGCACCCCCCTCCACCCTATCTCTACCAAAAATAGAAAAACTAGTCAGGTGTTGTGGTGGGCACCTGTAATCCCAGCTACTCAGGAGGCTAAGTGGATTGCTGGAGCCCAAGAGTTTCAAGTTGCTGTGAGCTATGAGGCCACAGCACTCTACCCTGGGTGACACAGTGAGTCTCAAAAAAAAAAAAAAGTTAAAAATAAAAGAAGTGGCTTGGCGCCTGTGGCTCAAGTGGCTAAGGTGCCAGCCACATACACCTGAGCTGGCGGGTTCAAACCCAGCCCAGGTCCCCTGAACAGCAATGATAGCTGCAACCAAAAAACAGCTGGACGCTGTGGCGGGTGCCTGTAGTCCCACCTACTTGGGAAGCGAAGGCAGGAGAATCACTGGAGCCCAGGAGCTGGGGGTTGCTATGAGCTGTGATGCCACAGCACTCTACCCAGGGTGACAGCTTGAGGCTCTGTCTCAAAAATAAATAAATAAAAATAAATAAAATAAAAGAAGCTATAGTCCATCTATAGTCATTACTTGGGAGACAAGTCTATTTTATTTTGAAAAATAAAGTTCTTGTGATAAAAAGAAATATGTAAACCAAGTAAGTAAAAAAACTTAAAAATTTTTCATAGTAACTACAATTATGTTAAAAATTCTTAGACAAACAGGCATGATGGCCCATGCCTATAATCATGGCACTTTGGCAATCAAGGCAGAAGGATCACCTTGAGGCCAGGAGTGGTGAAGGATCAGCTGTAGCCAGGTATGGTGGTGTGCATCTGTAGCCCCAACTTTTTGGGAGGCTGAGGCAGAACAACTGTTTTAGCCTAGCAGTTTGAAGCTATAGTGACCTATGAGGAGGCCACTGCTCTCTAGCCTGGGAGACAGAACAAACTCTATTAAAAAAAGAAAAAAAATCATAAAAACTTGGGCATGGACTCCAGAGAAGTCAGCCAAAGGGAAAAACAGTCACATGACGGCTGGGTCATAGGGGAGGGAAGGGGAAAGTTCTCTCAGAATCCCAAACTTCCCATTCTTTAATTATATTGTAATATTGCTTTTATGAGAGAAAAGGGAGGGAAATAAATAGACTAACCTTATTCTCTACCTTGTAAATTGTTATTTACTATCTTCCCAAGGGGTCTGGCTCACTTTCTAAAAGTTTATTGCTTTGTTATGATTATAAAAGTACTCCAATGTCACCACAGAAATATGGAAAAACACTAAAAATCTCAAGAAAACAAAACACCCAAAATGCCATCACCTGGTAATAAATCGTATTCGTACTTTGCCGAAACTCTAGGAATTTGATTTAGCTCACACCTGAGCACTTTGGGAACACATTTTTTGGAGACAGAGTCTCACTTTGTCACCCTTAGTACAATGCCACAGCATCACAGCTCACGGCAACCTCAAACTCTTGGGCTCAAGAGATTCTCTTTCCTCTGCCTCCTGAGTAGCTGGGACTATAGGCACCTACCACGATGCCTGTCTATTTTTAGAAATGGGGTCTCGCTCTAGCTCAGGCTGGTCTAGAACCTGTGAGCTCAGGCAATTTGCCTGCCTCAGCCACCCTGAGTGCTAGGCAGGGTGAGCCACCACACCCAGCCTGGGAATACATTTTTAAAGGCATTAGGACTGTTGACTTAAACCAGTACTACCTGCACTTTATAGACTTCTAAGTTACATTATGTTTTAAAGCATGCTGAGTACTTCATTTCCTTTTTTTTTTTTTTTTTGAGACAGAGTCTCACTAAGTTGCCCTCCATAGAGTGCCATGATGTCATAGCTCACAACAACCTCAAACTCTTTGGGCATAAGTGATTCTCCTGCCTCAGCCTCCCAAGTAGCTGGGACTATAAGCATCCGCCACAACACCGGGCTATTTTTTTGGCTGTAGTTGTCATTGTTGTTTGGCAGGCCCAGGCTGGGCTCAAACCCGCCACCTCCAGTGTATGTGGCTGGGGCCCTAGCTGCTTGAGTGACAGGTGCTGAGCCGAGTACTTCATTTCCTGCTGAGAACCGCCCTGTGTGTGTGTGTTTGTGTGTATGTACCTTTCTTACTTATTTTATATTAGGGGTCCACTGACTAACACTTACTCACAGCTTTCCAAAGCACTGCTGACACTTACAAAACAAAACGCACAATTTTTAAAGGACATATGTCTTAGGTTGTTCCTTTCTCACAGGGCCCCATGTGGACCAGGTGTACGTTCTGTCACAGGAAAAGCCAGCAGAGGTGATTTCTCTGCCTGCTGCCCTTGCCTTACAACTCACGAGCCTCCCGAGGCATGTGCACTGAGCTCTGAGACACACTTACAGGTCATAGGAGAACTTCCTCTCCAGGTTGGTCTGGTTCTTCTGAAACTGGAGGACATCCTGCTGCAGCTTGCTGTAATTCCTCTGCAGGGTCTTTAACTGGTCTAAACCAAGAGGAGGACAAGGAATTGTTCAGGTCACTGGCATGGCTGTCATGCCTAACATGACAAAGGCAGATGCACACATGAGAACACACAGGGCAAGGACACAAAGGGACTAAGGAGAGGACAGAGATGACCCAAGAACACAGTCCTTCCTTAGTAATCTCTACAGCCCAGCCTCGGAGAGTGCCTTGAGACCAGCAATCCTAAAGGAACCTGCATCTTGATTCTTCCCCAAATCTTTCTCTTAAATCTCCTCTTTGGCATTTTGGGAGGCCAAGACTGGTGGACAGCATTCAAGCTCATGAGTTCGAGAACAGTGTGAGCAAAGAGTAAGACCCTTCATCTCTACTAAAAATGGAAAAACTAGCTGGGCATTGGAACGGGAGCCTATAAGGTCCCAGAGGATCTCCTGAGCCCAAGAGTTTGAGGTTGCTGTGAGCTATAATGACGCCATGGCACTCTACCCACGGTGACAGACTGAGGCTATATCTTAAAAAAAAAAAACCACCACCCCCCCAAAAATCCTCCTTCAACCCTTAAAATCCATTAGGAACTTCTATTTGCCTATTTCTCTCTTAGATATCATAAGCCCTGAGCTGTCCCAAAGAGCCATACATACCACTGTGTCACTCAGCCCCAGCAGACTTAACCCTCTGTCTATAAAACACTGATTTGGGCACCTAGGCCGATAAGCGGCTACTCCTGCAGGACCCCTCTCTAGATTGTTAGGCTACCTGGCAGCATAATCCTCCAACTGCACTTTTCTCCAAGGCCCTGTGCTCATTTAATCACCCAAACCTCTTATCAGGGATGCAGCAGCTTTGTTTGGGGAAATGTATCAGCCCATCCACTCTACCATGACCACACGGAAGCTCTGTGGGAAGGAACAGCAGCTGCCAAAGGGCCAAGCTGTGGTGGGAGGAGGAGCAGCTACACCAGAGCAGGCAGACCTAACAGCCAGGGCCAGGGCACAGCCGGTGACAGACAGACAGGAGCAGAGGTTGGCATGCCCTCAGGTCTCTCCTCCCCTAACTTGACCTACAAGGCTCTATGAGGGAGAAAGGGGGACAAAATGAAATAAAACTGAAGGATTCCATAAACTACTATTACACATAATAGGAACCAATCTCAAAAGCATCTACATGACATTCTCTAGAAGACAAAACTGGAGCAATACAGAACAGCTTCATGGCTGCCTGGGGCCTAGGTAGGAAGACTGACTATAGAGGACTGGGAAATGGGGGTCTGCTGGGTGATAAGTGCATACAGGGTGTGCCAACTCCAACAGTCTGTAAGATTCCTAGTCAGACTTATTCAACTAGACACTATAAAGGCTAACATTATAGTGTATGAGTTATACTTCAATAAGCCTAACTTTAATAGATGCCATAATCTAACTAAGTATGAAACAGTAGAATATCCCTCAGCAAAAAAGAAAGAAAGAAATGAACTACTGATATCCATAATGACATGGGCAAATCTCCAAACAATTATTCTAGGCTTAGCCTGGTGGCTTACACCTGTTAAGCCCAGCACTTTGGGAGGCCAAAATGGGAGGATCATTTGAGGCCAGGAGTTCAAGACCAGCCTGGGCAACACAGCAAGATCTCATGTCTCCTTAAAACTTAGCCAGGTGTAGTGACCTACACCTACAGTCCCAGCTACTCAGGAAGCTGAAGCAGAAGGATCACCTAAGTCCAGAACTTCAAGGCTACAGTGAGTCACGACTACATCACTGTACTCCAGCCTGGGAGACAGTGTGAGACCCTGTCTCTAAAAATTATATTTTTAAAATTATATTGAGTATAAGAAGCCAGTCCACAATGATCTGATTTCATGCACAATTATTAAAATGCAAACTCATCTGTAAGGACAGAAAGCAGGCCAGAGGCTGCCTGGAGGTACAGCAGGAAGATTACCCAGGGTGCACAGATAAGCATTTAAGGATGATGAGATGTTCCCTACACTGACTTTGGCAGCGGTTTTGTGACATGTATGCATATGTCAGAGTTTGTACACTCTGTATAGTTTACTATGTGTCAAATCCACACAAAACAGCCATGGAAAACAAGAAGCAGAGAAAAGGCTGCAGCCATATCCCTGCCCCGGGCCTGACCAGTCTCAGCAGCAATTATCAACTCTGAGAAGCGCCCGTACAGTCAGATAATTTCTTTGTCCCCCAGACAAATTTGACAAAGCAACCTCTTTTCACCTAAGAACTATTAATGGTTTTAGAACCTGATTTGGAGCTATAAGTTTAAACTAGTGCTGTCTAACAGAACCATAATACAAGCCACAGAGGGAATTATTAATTTCTTAGTAACCACATTTTTTTTTCTTTTGAGACAGTGCCTAAACCTGTCACCCTAGGTAGAGTGATATGATATCACAGCTCACCGCAACCTCAAACTCCTGGGCTCAAGCGATTCTCCTACCTCCACTTCCCAAGTAGCTGGGACTAAAGGCACCAGCTAAAGACAGTTTGTGTAAGTTTCATGAAGGAAATCTAAATTCAAGGTGACCCAATGCAAACAGGTCATATACAGAGGAAACCAAAACAATGTATACATATTTTAAAAAAGAAAAAACTAAAATGCCCAGCTATTTTTTGGTTGCAGCCATCATTGTTGTTTGGCAGGCCCAGGCTAGATTCAAACATATGCTCAGGCATATGTGGCTGGCGCCTTAGTTGCTTGAGCCACAGGTGATGAGCCAGTAACCACATTTTTAAAAAGTAATGTTTTAATATTAAACCCAAACAATACAAAATATGTCAACATATAATGACTGTAACAATTATGATAGATATTTTAAATTATTTTGTTTTACTGAGTCTTTGAGATGTATATTTGACAATTACAGCACATCTCAATTCTATTAATTTTAAATTAAGTTAAATTTTCACTAGAAATTCTTGATTGGAATTTAGATTTCATAAAATTTAAAATTAGGAAGTAGACTGATCTACCCATATTGTCCCAAGCATACTTAAGTTTCTAAATAACTAAGCAGAGTGTCAGTTTCAAATAAAAAGTACTGAAAACTTAACAAAAATCCCAGCTGTCAAACAGAGTCAGTCAGAGGACCAAAGAAATGGAATTAAATGAGGCTGACAGTTTGTGTAAGTTTCATGAAAGAAATCTAAATTCAAGGTGACTCAATGCAAACAGGTCATATACAGAAGAAACCAAAACAATGCATACATATTTTAAAAAAGAAAAAAACTATTAAATCTGTAATACTCAAGTCACATTTGACTTCTGCAATTACAAGAGGTGCTCAACGTGACTTGTACCCATCTTTTGTTCAGTATATATTAAGTATCACAATTTAAATACAGTTTTTTTTTCTTAAAATGTATATATATATATCTTTGGCACCCTCTGTATATACCACATGTACACATACATACATATGTTGTATATATATAAAATAAATTGTACATATCATATATAATACTTAAGATATTCATAATTAAGAATCTGGGTTCTGGCTCGGTGCCTGTGGCTCAAGCGGCTAAGGCGCCAGCCACATACACTGAGGTGGCGGGTTTGAATCCCCAGCCCGGGCCCGCCAAACAACAATGATGGCTGCAACCAAAAAATGGCCAGGCGTTGTGGCGGGCGCCTGCAGTCCCAGCTACTTGGGAGGCTGAGGCAGGAGACTCGCTTGAGCCCAGGAGTTGGAGGTTGCTATGAGCTGTGATGCCATGGCACTCTACCCAGGGGGATAGCTTGAGGCTCCATCTCAAAAAAAAAAAAAAAAAAAAGAATCTGGGTTCTTCTGTACACAACAGCTTGCAATGTATTATTCAGCAATATTTTTAAAAGGAAAGCCTTTCAAGGAGATCAGTAAAGCAAAAAGAATAGACTGAAGATTGCTCAACTACTTATAAGGCACCCCACTGCTCCTGGAAGGCCAGGGCCTGGGGTACATTAGGAGAGTAGAACTTACCTTGTAGGACTCTGATAAGCCTCTCACTTGTGGTGATATTATTCACCAGAACTGCCTGCAAGGAAGATAAACACAAAGTAAATACAAGTGGGAAAAAAGGGAAAAGAACCACCCCCTCCCCCAACCCAAAGCGGCAGGCAGGGAAGAAGCTGGGCAGACAGCTGTCTGGTCTGACTATCCAATGTCTACAGCTGAAAAGGAACATGCCTGTTTAGAGATTTGCTTTCCAGCCACCAGCCTGTACCCTGAGGAAGGAGGAAATGGATCCTTGGCTCTGTTCCAGCCCAAGGAAACTGTGGCTCCTCCACGAAAGGCCCCAGGCCTGGTTTTCCACACCCCCTACCCCCCCATCCCTGCCCCAGACAGAAGTGCACAGGGCACCTGCAGGGCTGGATCTGCAACCTCACACCAAATGTCCTCAATCAGAATGTGAACAGCAAATGCCAGGCTGGCTAAAAGAAGAAGGGAAATGGAATGTACCAAGGGGCCTTGGCTAATGAGGCCGCTTGATGCATTTTAACTTCAGGCCATGCTGCAGTCAACAGTCTACAAGCTTAGGAATGGAGGATTTCACACATAGTCACACTGAGTTGAGAAAGTCAAGACAAGGGCAGAAGCCAGCCAGGACTCAAAATAACAATAAAGAGAAGTAAAAAGTAAGGCAAGCAAGCATCAGTTAGGTATAGCCACTGGCCAGTGTGCACTGAGGAATCACCCTATGCCAGGGGCTTTGCTAGGCATGTCCCATCTATATGCTTACTGACTCTTCCAATAGGTATATGTCGTCCCATCTCAGGGGACAGGACAGACTGCTTAAGCTGCTCAAGATTACTTGTTTATTAATAGGAAAAGCAAATTTCAGCTCTGATGGGCATGCTCCAGAAAGGAAGTTCTTCTATTTGCCACATTGCTACAAGTTAAGAGCAGGACAACAATTTAGGGGACTGCACCCAATGATAAAAACAGGCATAAGCCTGAAAAAGCGGGGAACAGAATATTAAACATTGGAATACATAATACAGGGTAAGTGTTGCATAGTAAACACACAGGCAGCACATATGTGCTGGGTCACACTAGCAAAATTTCATACTGTGTCCCCATCAACAAAGCTTGGAAATACTTCACTTTTGCCGTGACATGGAGACATATTACTGGTTAGCAGTGGATGGTGAGAACCACGCCATCCCCTCTTCCTCTGCCTCCTGCTTCCTTGAGGACCTTTCCATGCAGCCTTCATTCTTTCTTGGGCCTGGACAGAGAGAAGGCTTATAGGAAGCAACAGCTCTGGGGGTTAAATGATATGAACGCAGGGGCGTGTACCCAGAAATGATACCTAACCACATAAATCTGGCATTTGTTTTCAGAGATCTGAGCATACAGAACATTTCCTGAGGCAACAGTTAAAAAAGGTCATGGTGAAAATATGGGTAAAATTCATCTCTCAGGAAGAAATTATCCACAGATGTATTTGTAAACTCCACAAGAGCAGGGGTGGCGGCAGAGAACAGGAAGGGAATGAGAGACCTACACAGTGGAATCAGATTCACACGCCTCCCAGTTCCTGCTACTCTTGGAAAAACTTGGCACAACTGAAAAGACAAAGGATTACCATACGATCACGTAATCTCATTTTTGGATATAAACACAAAAGAACTCAACACGGGATCTCCAAGAGACCATGTGCAACACTGCGTTCACTGCAGCATTATTCATAATAGCCAACAAGTGAAATCAACCCAAGTAACCACAGATGGAGAAACAAAAAAGCAAAATGTGGTATACATGTATGTGTATATGCTGGAATACTATGCAGTCTTTAAAAACGAATTATGACACACACCACAACACCCATGAACCTCAGCGACATGATGCTAAGTGAAAATTTAAGTCAGTTACAAGAAGACAAATATTATATGATTCTATTTATGTAAAGCACCTAAAGTAACCAAAATAATAGAAACAGAAGTAGAAAGGAGGTTGCCCAGGGTGGCAGAGGGGAAAGAAGGACTTGGTGTTTAGTGGGTATAAAGTCTCAGTATCGCAAGATGAAAAAGTTCTAGACTCTCTTGTATGAATATACTTCACATCTCTGAACTATATGCGTAAATTTCCACTGTGCACAGATAACAAAACCACCTTCACAAAACAGAAAATAAAGGGACACTTAAATAATTATGTTGATTATCCTCAAAGCTGATGTGTCCTAGCTAAATCATTTGTATAAAAATTATGGCAATTTGACTTGTTGCTTTTCCATCTATTCCCCTTAGCTCCCCACAAAAAAATCCACATTAGAGTACACAGCTCTCTGAGGTCTCTGCAATATTTCTTTCTCCATGCGACTTTATTCTTCCAAGGAAGATATATTTTCCTTATCTTCCCCCACCTACTCATTTATGCGTGGAAACACATGGCCTCCATCTAAAACCAATAAGGATCATAAAATACTATAAAGATCTTTTATATATAGCTTTACATTTATAGAAAATATCTTTCTGAATCATTTTCAGGAAAACTATGAAAATGTTTCCTAGCATCTTTTGGGATTCAGTGCTATATAAGAAAGAAAAACACCCTATATTCGACAAAATTATTTTTAAATGAATTATATATTCTACTCTGAACAACTAACAAATGGGGGGGAAAGGCTGTTTTCCCCCATTTGGGGTGCCTGGTGACTTTGGGGGGGAAACTGCACTCCTGATGCTTGTGAAACTATCCCCTGAGACCACTCAGTCATAGACAAGAATGCAGTAAGTGCCACTAGAATTTAACTGCAAACCAAACTCCAAGGTGTCATGGTGAATCACTCACATACAAATTTATTATAACCACTCTATTTGGGGAAACAAGTATATTTGATCAAACTATTTCTACATTAGATTCCTAGAAAGATAAGCTCAATGTGGAGAAGAGACACTAAGAAAGGGACTTCAAAGAGGATGGAGGGCCTGTAAGAATGTGGGTATGAAGGTAATTTTTTTTTTTTTTTTTTGAGACAGAGCCTCAAGCTGTCCCCCTGGGTAGAGTGCCGTGGCATTACAGCTCACAGCAACCTCCAACTCCTGGGCTCAAGCGAGTCTCCTGCCTCTGCCTCCCAAGTAGCTGGGACCACAGGCGCCCGCCACAACGCCCGGCTATTTTTTGGTTGCAGCCGTCATTGTTGTTTGGCGGGTCCGGGCTGGGGATTCGAACCCACCACCTTAGGTGTACGTGGCTGGCGCCTTAGCCAGTTGAGCTATAGGCGCTGAGCCGGTATGAAGGTAATTAATGACCAATAGAAAGAAACCATCAATGACCAATAGGAAAGGGCAATATGGCCTGGAGGTGCAGAGAAGCCAATGAAAGACTTGCAGCCAATTTCAAACAGAATATTTACACTGCTGCAGACCCTTTTTATCTCTCACATTCTCTCCTCCATGGAGAGATTCTCCACATTCTCTCTCTCCACTTCCAACTCTTTGGAAGTACTCTAAGCCTTGCCTTTATTCTTCCCAAATAAAATTTCTCTTTGTTATCCTGAAACTTGTGTAGGTTACTCTTACTTTCCTCCACACTGCCACTGCTGCTCCAGTTTTATTTTCAATTTCTACTCACTTTGCTTTCAGTAACTGTCATGCCTTGGTTGAACTTTCTAGCTCAGCTGAGTAACTAAACCAGGTCAACTGGGTTTAGGGAACCAGTACCCCAACCCACATGAAATGTTTCATAATATATTTTTAAAGCAACATATCTATAATAAATTAACACATTTTGAAAGCTCAGTGAGATATTAACAACTAATCTTCAAATATTAATTTTGAAAAGCTCACTTGTAAGCAAGATGCTGATCCTATTATAGGAAGCAGAAGGCAACTTTTACTGCTGTATTTATTTGGCTCATGAAAATAAACAACCTGGGCTGACTGCCTGTAGCATAGTGGTTACAGCACCAGCCACATACACTGAAGTTGGCAGTTATAAACCTGCCCTGGGCCAGCAAATCAACAATGACAACCACAACAAAAAATAACTAGGCATTGTTGCAGGCGCCTATTATAGTCCCAGCCACCTGAGAGGCTGAGGCAAGTGAGTCACTTAAGCCAAGAGTTTGAGGTTGCTGTGAGCTGTGATGCCACAGCACTGTACCAAGGACGACAGAGTAAGACTCTATTTCAAAAAAAAAAAAAGAAAGAAAAGAACAGAACCAACCTGCTTTGAGGTGTGGGTCCACCTTAAACCTGTGTGGCTAAAGCCTTACTTAAAAAGGACCCTCACCCCACCTAACCCTTGTCTTAGGTGCTTTATAACTTGTTTATACTGAAATTCCTGTTAATACCTCGGGAAGATGAACCTTAAAATGCAAAAGTTAATCAACTGTAGTGACCTTAGAACCACAGTTTAAGAATGAACAGAAGAATATTCACCAGAGTCTTCTTTTTACCCCTTACCAATTTCAAAATCGTGCTATCCAATTGAAATGAAATGTCAGTCACATACGGAAATTTAAGTTTTCTAATAGCCACATTCAATCAAGTAAAAAGAAACAGGTTGGGCAAGAGATCTGAAGCTATTTCCCCAACAAAAACATAAATCTTCGAACATGAAAAGATGCTCAACATCATTAGTTGAGCCCTTAGTAGAGTGTCGTGGCATCGCAGCTCACAGCAACCTCAAACTCTTAGGCTTAAGTGATTCTCTTGCCTCAGCCTCCCAAGTAGCTGGGACTACAGGCACCCGCCACAATGTCTGGCTATTTGGGGGTTGTAATTGTCATTGTTGTTTGGCAGGCCTAGCCTGGGCTCAAACCTACCACCTTCCGTGTATCTGGCTGGCACCCTAGACGCAGATCTACAAGCACCAAGCCCAGCATCATTAGTCTTACAAGAAATGCAAATCACAATGAAAAGATACCACTTCACGCCCATCAATATGGCTATAATTTTAAAATAGGAAAATAACAAGTGTTTACAAGGATATAGAAAAACTAGAGAAAAATTAGAATATTCACACACAGCTGACAAGAATGTAAAATGGTACAGCCACTGTGAAAAAATCTGTCAGCTCTTCAAGTTA